TATCAAATACGAATGGTGGTGATGATGATGGCGATGAAAATGTTTTTATTATTGTATCATTAGATAAACAATGGTTTTTTGAAGCACAATCAAATGAAGAACGTGATGAATGGGTACAAGCTATTGAACAACAAATTTTATTTAGTATACAAAATATTGAATCTTCAAAAGCAGCACGTGCAGCTAAAATAGGTGGACCAACTATAGCTGATCCAGCATCTGTACAAGCCATTAAACAAATATCGGGAAATAATTTTTGTGCAGATTGTGATCAAATAAGTAAGAAAATTTTTCAATTTAATTTTTTTTTTTTATTTGATTATCTATTTTAAGATCCAACATGGGCTTCATTAAATCTTGGTTCGTTAATTTGTATGGATTGTGCATCATTACATAGAAATCTTGGTACACATTTATCACGTGTTCGATCACTGGAATTAGATGAATGGCCGTAAGAATTTATTATAAGATTTTAAATGAAATATTATTATTTTTGCTTTAATTTTTCTTGCAAAAAAAAAAGATCGGAACTTGTACAAGTAATGCGTTCAATTGGAAATAAACTAGTCAATTCTATATGGGAAATAAATATTAAAAATCGAATTAAACCTCAACCGAATGCTTCTTCGTAAGTTTTAATCAATGTAATTTACATCTCGGTATTTACGTTGGCGAACATGAATCGTTTAAATACGAAACATCTAGATAGTATATTCCTTGTCAACATAGAAGTACTTGAATATCTGAACTGAGGGAAAACATCTTCGATTTCTGGTAGTCGTTTAGTACATCGCGAGTTTTCTTTATTTTTTGTTAGATATATCTATAGAAAGTTATTATTTGGTGATAAGATGAGTTCGAGAAAGGAAAAGTTAGAGACTGCTGGTCGAAACATGAAATCAGAACATTAAGGTCAAAGTGATTCTGAATGTTAATAGTAGAGAACTATGAAAGTAGCATCTGTCAGACATTCTTTAGAGCAAGTAGAAAATCATGGCAAATTGTTCTCGATCAATAAAAGTAGCAAACAAATTATCGTCGGTTTATCGAAAGTAGAGGTGTAAGCCGTGCGGCTGAGCCGCCGCCGCCGCCTTGACGGTAGAAATTTTTCAGCCGCCGCGCCGCCGATGGTATTCAAAATTTTAAAATTTTCGAGCCGCCGCCGCCGCTGGCAACTAGCATAAATAAACGTTTTATTTATATTTTCTTGAATTCGGTACTTTGACATCTTAGAATCCCAATATATTTCTTCTTCATTATCTTCCTCGCCTTCAACTTCACTTTCGTGCTGGTTTTTTGACCAGCCAGGTGCTTGGGGTTCTAAATTGTAAACAAACCCTTAATTCTGTGTTGGTTGAAAATTCTAAGTTATCATTTCAGTTGTTTATGTCTTTATATTAGGTATATTAATAAATACATGAAGAGACGAGCATTTTAAATTTTGATTAACAAAAACAAAATAAAAACAACAAACTTGAATACGCTAAGTGCCTTTACTTATTAACAATCGTGATGGCGATTTTTCATTTATTATTTACCCTAGCAATTATATTTATTTTTTAATTTTAGACTTTTTTTTTCATTATGTCTAGATGTGAATTAAAGTTTGTCCACATATGTGTTTGAAGATAAAAAAGGCCGAGATATTGAAATAGGCCTTGTCTACACTAAAAATTTTGATGGTAAATTAAGAGACATGATTGGTTAAACAGTTAATAAACATTTAAAACACTTTAAAAAAGTGCATTAAATTTATTGCACTATTCAGAACCACATTAAAGTTGATGCACCAATCAAAGTCTGATTGGATTTTCCAATGAGACTGACGCAGTTTTCAATGAGCGATTCCTCTATGATTGAAGTGAACAAAAACTACGCTTCATTTCAAAGGCTAGGATTCTGATTGATGCATTAACTGACAAATGTAGACACGAATTGATTTAATACGAATTGAATACTGCATTATCCTTCTCGTGTAGACAAGGTCATAGACTAATTTCTTTATGATAATGTAGTACTTTTTAAACTTCAAGCCGCCGCCGCTGTGCAACCCTGGAATATCAAATCTGCGCCGCCGAGCTTTTTTAAAAAGTTTTAAAAAACTGGCGCCGCCGCCGATTAGCCTATCGGCTTACACCTCTAATCGAAAGTATATTAAGGTTTAAAGGCAGATGAGCTTTTTCGTTAAACATTTTATTGATGTTTTCCAATATTTCATACTTTATTTGGTTTTTCTCACAGGCTGTTTTTCCTGGGAGCATCGTTACAACCTAACGGTAGATGATTCCTCATCTCAGCAGAGTCAAAGACAACAAAGAAAAAAACAGTATTTTTCCGAACAATTAGAGATAATTAAAATGAAAACTGTTTTCGCGTTTTGTGATATAGAGCAAACCTTTCTATTTCAGCATCTCCTTATTCTTAGCAGTGATCACTTATTTCAGATCCCAACAGTAATAATAACTTCTGTAATGTGAACAACATACATTCTATCATTCACTTACAGAAACAAGACCAACGATATTATGTCTATTGAATTATAATAAACAATCGTAAGACACAAATAAAAACGAGATGGTCTAACTGTGCGTATTTAAAAAATAAGTAGACAACAACAGCAGTACCTGATGCAATATCTTGTCGCTTCTGTATTAATGAATTTCAACAGATATACTTCTTAATTTTCTTTCAAATTCAAATTCTCTATTTGATAGAAACGAAACTTTTCTGACTATATCAATAGAAAAAACTCTGATTTCAATCATTGACTTTTGAAGTGTCTTTATAACATATTTTGCAGATGGAATTTCACTTAAGTATAATTTAATTATTTTATTTTTTAAGATCTGAACGTGAACGATGGATTCGAGATAAATATGAGCAAAAATTATTTATTGCACCATTAACAATTTTGCCTAATCAAGCACGACAATCACTTATCGATGCTATAACTCAAGAAGATTTATATACAGTTATACTTATATTAGCTCATAGAAAAATATCCTCGGATGATCTTAATTCGTCAATATTACATTTAGCTGCTTTACAAGGCAATGTTACCATGCTACAATTGCTTCTTTGGGTAATTATAATAATTAGAACTAAAATTTAGTGAACAAAAATCTAAGAAAATAAATTGTTTTTCTTTTTTTATCGCTTGAAATATTATATTATTTTCCTGATCAACATGTCTTTATTAAAAATTAATTCAAAACATTTATAACACATTTAACAGTGAATTCTTTGGAAAAGTGTTCAAATCTAACGAGAGAACATTTATAATTGTCAAATCGCTTTTGAGTTCAAACTATGTATTAGTTAGATTCCATTAAGTTAGGAAAAACCTCAAAAGAATAAATTCCTTGAGACTGTCTGTTCAAAGTTATAGACATTTTACTTCAATTTCAGCCTATGGTACAGGATTTATCCACAAACAGGTCTATTTTTGAATACAATGTCTAGAAATCTGAACAGAAGGCTTAAGAAGATTTATTCTTTTGGGATTTTTCATACATCAATGGAGTTTACCTTATGAACATAATTCGGAATCAAAAGCGATTGAGCAATTGAGAATGTTTGTTGCTAGTTTAAATGGTATTCATTTATCGTACAAGGGAGCATCTTCGAGAATGACTCACCAATCGAATTAGTATGTTGTCCATAATTAGATATCGACGTGACTACCAGAAGCCTGTAATAGTTTGTCCACATACGTTGCGTTTCTTAAATTATTACAATTTTAGTGAAATTTTTAATCTGACAAGACTTTTGTGAAACAATTGAACTACGAATTTTCAACTTGAAAATCTCAGCCTAAGAGAAAATATTTTTCTTAACATATTGAATATGAAAAAACAATCATGTATTAGAAGGAAAGATAAGAAAGCCCAGATTTTTCAATCATCGATATCTCAAGAAGAACACTTTTCTTTTAAATGAAAGTTTCACGATATTCGAAAGTCCACCGGATCTAGATATGGGTAGGCTTCATAATTCGATTAATTCAGAGTACCTTACCAGGTATAAAAACTTAAGTACAATAGTAAGAACTTGGGCAGCAGAGATAGTATTGGTTTCCGAATTAATTTCATCTTTGTTGTGAAGGACAATATATGATAGATGAACTTTTATGGGCTTCTACTAGCCTCATCAGAGTCTACCGGATGAGCAAAATATGGGTTCGATCGGTGAGTCATATTTGGGAACCTTTCATCGATAATTATTTTGATATAGACGTACTTGTCCAAGAAAATTAATCATAATAGAAATTTAATCTATCATTTGATAATATTCAAAAACAAGAATGACTAAATTTTTATTATTATTTTTGAATTTTTTTCTTTCAGTATGGTGCTGATCCATTCGTAATGGATAATCATGGTCGTACGCCTCTTCAATGTGCTAATGGGGATTGTCTTCAAGTTCTTCAAACATTAACTAATAATCATACAAATTCTCAACAACAATTAAAACAAACAACAATCTCTCCTCAACATAGTACATTACCTCGTCAACGACCACCTGCATCATCTCCTGCTCCACCTTATGATAAACTTCCATCATCTGTTATTTAATATCTAACTATGTTCAGATACATATACGTATTGTCTCGTGTTAATGGTGCGATTTTTGTTTTTTTTTTTCACATTCGTGCAATTTTCTCATATTTTTTAGATCTGAATTTTGTTTCTTCTCACTTTTATCGTTAGCACGTTGTTTTTTTTTGTAATATTTTGACGTTCCGTGCTCTTATTCTTTTGTTTTGTTTTTCTTATTGCTATAAATTTACGTTTGTTGTTCATCTATGTCTGTGACGCTCTTTAATTTCTATCTTTCTTTATCTGTACTATACAGGAAAAAAGAAGTGCGACTATGTTTTGTGTATAATATTGCATTTTTATTGTTCTAAAAGTTAAGAAAATACCATAAATATATATGTATATATACATATATATATTTGTTGTTGTTTAGATTAATATATTCATATTGATAACTTCATAATGACTTCAATCAAAGGTAAGATTAAAAGTATCATTTTAGTTCATATGTACTTGGAATGTTTTTTTTTGCGTTATTTAAAGTTAATGTTAAATGGAATAAAGAAGTATTGAAAGATGTTGAAGTCGATACATCATTACCACCGGCTGTTCTTAAAGCTCAATTATTTTCATTGACAAATGTTCCTATTGAACGACAAAAAATTATGATTAAAGGACAAACAATTGGTGATGATACATGGGGAAAAGTTAATTTAACAAATGGTCTAACACTTTTAATGATGGGTTCAGCTGATCCAGTACCTGAATTACCAACGGAAAAAGTCACATTTTTAGAAGATATGACCGAAGCACAACTTGCTCAACATTTACAATATCCGGGTGGTCTTAAAAATCTTGGTAAAAACTTTTTAAAATCACAAGAGAATGAAACAAGTCATAAGTTATATATCCCAATTGTTTCCTCACTTTTGAGCTAGTCATTTATCCGTCACTAGAAATCAATGCTACTAAAAAAATCTAGAGAACAATTAGGCATATTCATGAATAGAATTTTAGATAAAATTATGTTCATTTGTGTTTTCTGGAGATACTCTTTTCCAGACCGAAAAGTCAATAAAACGATTATAACATTTGACAAACAGTTCATAAACATAAATGATTTTAAGATTTTACAAATACCACTAACGAAGAATTCACTTCAGCTATATATTTCCGATATCAATGATTTATTGCCTATAGAGACTACAGATTGTTCTGACAAAAACTCTAAAAGAATTTAGATTCTTTTTGATATTGACTAAGTTATCAAATTTTTAATAGTGGTATTTTTCAGGAGCTTCAAATTTTTGGAAAACACATTTTATTTTTGTCAAATTTTGATCTGAAACTTTGCACATACAGAGAATTCAACTAGACTAGCTTTCATAAAAATATTCAGAAGTTGTAAAAACAAAGCCGATTCAAAATATAAGACTTTGAAGATATAAACTATTTTTCATAGATAGTTTATACAATATCTAATGTTTCATAGTTTAATATTTCGAAGAGACATTGTTTAATACTTCTGAATATTTTTATCGAATCTATTCTATTGAATTTCTCTATATGTGCAATGTTTCAGATCTAAAATCAAAAACACGAGTTTTCCTTTAAGAGTTTTTATTAGAACACTCTGTAGTGTCTGTAAACAACAAATCATTGAAATCAGAAGAGAACATTTGAGGAGATTCCCTTTTTTGACTATAGTAAACTTTTAGAAATAATCATGATGACTTAATAAATGATAGTTCTTTCGTTTATTAGGTAATACTTGTTATATGAATGCTACATTACAATGTCTCAAAAGTGTACCTGAATTACGTGATGCTATTAAACAATATCATCCAACACATCGTGGACAAGGTGCTATGATGATTGATGGAACACAAATGATAGCAAATGCCTTAAAAACAACATATCAACAATTAGATGTAACAAGTGAACCATATATGCCATTAACATTACTTGCATCCATTCATCGTGAATTTCCACGTTTTGCTGAAAAAGACGATCATGGTCATATGATGCAACAAGATGCAAATGAATTTTGGGTACAACTTATGCAAATACTTCAAATGAATATACCCGGAAAAAAATTAACTGATGAAACAACAACAACAACAGCATCAAGTGCTACTAATGACAAAAGTCTTATTGATCAATATTTTGGAATAAGTGCACGATCTATGTAAATCTTAACTCTCTCTCTCTCTCTCTTTATTTAAAAGTATTATTACAAAAAAATATAAATTCTTTAGAATGAAATGTAATGAAGCACCTGAAGAACCAACAAATGCATCTGACGAACGTTTACTTCAACTTAGTTGTTTTATTAATCCAGGTAAATTTAATTTAAAGAAATTTTAAAAAATTCTTATGACTATTTTTCTTCTTTTAGATGTCAAGTACTTATTGACTGGTTTAAAAAATGTCAGTTTTCTTATGTGACAAAAAAAAAAACAAATCTTTTCTCTACTATTCTTTCTTTTTTATAGAGATTGGAAGAACAAATAACAAAACATTCAACGGTACTTAATCGTGACGCTGTTTTCACTAAAACTGTATGTATACTTTTTTTTAAATAGATTCTATTATGTTTATTTATATTTCTTAGACTCATCTTTCACGTTTACCTGCTTATTTAACAATTCAATTTGTACGATTTTTTTATAAAGAAAAAGAAAAAGTTAACGCAAAAATTCTTAAAGTAAATAATTTTAATTTTCTACTATTCATAATAATAATATGTATGTTTTTGTTTTGACAGGATGTTCAATATTCAATGATACTCGATGTATTTGATTTATGTACACCAGATTTACAAAAACGTCTTATGCCAGCAAGAGAACAAATAAAAAAAGCTGAAGATGCAAAACTTGATCGTGAACGAGCTAAAGTATTTATTTGGCGCATGAGTTGCCTAATTTGAATTCGAATATAAATGAAGTTCTATGATCTTCATAGAACTTCAACTAAGATTCGAATCAACAGTTTCATGTTAGAACGGCCAAAATGA